CTTTAAAAACAACAAAATCAAACACATAATACAGTAAACTGGTATGAATATAAATTTTGATTCTTGATCGCTTATCATAATAAAAAATTTGTTTATCGTTAAAACATCTATTCAATAAATTATCAAATATATGTTTCTGGTTTTGTATGATAGTATCGTACAGCTACCTTATATAATACAATAATAATGTAAAATAGAGTAATAAATATGTCAAATAAATTATAGCAAAAGTATAAATTAAAATTGGTTATTAATCAGTATTTTGAATTTATATATCAATGAAACCTAAAGTTTGTGTATTCTTGTTTGTTTATTTAGCCTAACATTTTTGTTAATAGCCAATCAGCATGTTATATTATCACATAATTTAATATTAAATATCATGTGATGGAGGCATGCCTTTTGGCCTAAAAGCATGCACCCAGGCATACCCAGAAAGCATGCCCAAAAGGCATATCTCATGCTCTGTGCCCCAACCCTAGCTGCCACATTTTTTTTTGAAAGAGTATAAATCTTTTTCCTTGTTTATATATAACCAAGTCAGAGTAAAACAAAAGATATCTTAAAATCATAGATCGAACTACTTATAACTAACAATTGAATAAATAACTTACCTTCTTTAACTAGTAGCTGTAATGTAAAACCAAATAAGTCAAATATAGTTTAGCATCTATTATTGCCAAATCTTCAATATATGCAAGTTCTACTTACTAGTACTAAACTTGTATACATTTGATATAATATCGCCTGGAGGTAGTAGGCTTAGTAAAGATTATACTATTTTACCTAAGGAGGTAAGGTGTTTTTGAGAAGTACGAGTTATACATGAAATAGTTACTTATTATTTTTAATGAAGGTGTATGAAGAAGATATGAAAACAATTATGCTTGTAGACAAATATCTGAAACAATTATATAATCTAACATTTGCATATATAGAATACTTGGGGTGTTCTGCTCAGGTATATATAATAAAGAATATGTTTTCTATCTTTAGTGAATTTATGAAATACTAATTATATTTTTTAAAGAATGGTTGTCACAAAGATAAATATAATTGGAAAGGTTGTATTTCAATTTTTTATGACAAGCTACTTAATTTGTATAATATTGAGTATTATAGAAATCATGATCCAGATCACAATCTGGAAAACTATTTTAGATATCAAGTTCAGTAAAAAAACTATTACAAACAAAGCTGCAAATATAACCCTTCAATTTTGGTAACAGATAAATTTAGAAAGCAAAATCGAACTTAAAAAA